CTGCTACTGCTACTGCTACTATTACGACTACGACTACGACGACTACTGCTGCCACTACTATTAATAATAATAATAACAAGAAAAATTAATAATACTACAGTGTACAAGAACTTACCACAACGTTCGATACTCGCCTTAGTAATTAGACTAGGGTGTTGGGGCCCCTTATGCTATAATTATACCAAGGAACCCCCCCAAAAATTGTATTGGTAATCGTTTAGACCCCTACTCTATGAGGCATAATAAGGAACCCCCCAAAAATTGTATTGGTAATCGTTTAGACCCCTACTCTATGGGGCCCCTTATGCTATAATTATAATAAGGAACCCCTCAAAATAGTATCGGTAAATGGGAAAGGCCCCTACTCTATGAGGCTTCAGTGCCTGGCCACTCCTCCCAGCAGCTGAGCTTCAGGAGAAGCGCCCCTGGCGGAGGATCTCCGGTGGCCTTCTCCGAACATATTCGTGGCTTTAGGGATCCAGGGAAGGCTTTTTTTGGTCTTCGCGGGTTCCGGGATTCTGGGTTTTCGGGGATTCAAGGGTTTGGGGATATCTAGGGCTTAACGCTTCAGGGGTTTAGGATTTATTGGGGCTTCTGCGGAGGAGGGTTCAGGAGTTTGGGGTGTAGGGCAGGGATGCCTTCACGCTTGGAGTCATGTGGGGAATGGTTCGCTGGCTCTAGGATGTTACAGCAACCCACCTTTATTAGGGTACATGTCAGGCATCTATTTGACATAGCCTCATCACATCAAGACACTCTTGCACTCACACCCCAGAACCTCCTTATCAAAACCCTCTAAGCCTCTAAAACTCCTCCAAACTTCTCCAACTTCGGAAATCCCTCGAAGCTGCAGTCTCTTCTCCGAGATTGAGGCGGGCGGATGACAGTCAGACAAGCCTCGAGACACTCGGGATTCAGGTGTCAAGCTTTGCTTTTCGTATAGTCTAAGCCTAAGCTACTGCATAGCTAAGCCCCCCATAACCCTAATCCACAAGACCTCGGGACCGCAGACAAAAGCTGAGCCGTTGAGTCCGAGATCACTAGAAGCTGAAATCTTGGACATTACACAGGTTTAAGGGTTTGGGGGGGTTTGGGTTTAGGGTCAAAGGTCTGCGGTGGATAAGGCGCTTGCTTTGAAGAGGGAGGCTAGCTCCTTGTGTTTCCACTGGCCTTGGGGGTGTTCATGTCTCGGTGAGAACAGTGTTGTACCAGGATTGGGCTGTAAATTCTAACCCCCGATGTATCACAAGAGCCCAGGAGGAGTTACGCTGATCATATGAAGAGAACGCTGCAGCAGGGAGAAGATCATGAGAATCATTGTGTCCTCTTCTTTGCCACCGGCCTTGCCATCCGTATCGTACGATGAAAGAAAACACACCCCTAAACCGCCTAAACCCTAAGCCCAATCGTGTCTGGTTCCGAAAAGGCCAGCAGACTTTCTGCCTGCGACGGCCTGCCACATCATGTCCTCATTTTGGTATCCTGCCCTTTTTGCAACTGGCTTGCAACGTCACGCCAGGACAGCTGTCTCGCTCCACGCTGCACTCGCGACAGCATGAATTCGGAGGCTGCTGCTACAAAGCACTCAGGGGACATGCACGGATCCTGCCCTAAACCCTAAACCCTAACAGCAATCTCTAGAACTTCTAACCCTTCGACTGAATCGAACCATCACCGAACGGGGGCTTCCTATCATGTCACTCGCCTCACATTCCCCTATAGTTCCTTTGTGTCCATCAGGACTTGTGTGCAATCGCCTGAACACTGACTTCCAGGTCCACAAACCCTGAACCCTTATACTTATAGTCCCTACGCGTTGTAGTGGTTATAGGCTGTCAGTAGAAATATTTCCGATTTTTTCGTATGCCCTCTATATAATATAGCTACACCGTTCCCATACAAATAGACTTTGCTAGTAAGCCTGTTCCCTGCCAGCCCAAATAGAGTTTAAGTACAATGCGTCCCGGAAATTATGTCCTGATGCTGCAGCCGGGGCACAAAGAACTTCCAACCTCGGGCTTCGTGGAGTGGCACGTAGCAGGGAAACACTAGAAAATGATAGCTCGAATGGTTCGCAAGGGTTTAACGGCCTTATCTAAACTGTTCTCGGGTCAGCTGTGGCTTGCTTCGGCCTGTGCGGTATAATGACAGTGGGCAAACATCGTATATACCTTGATCAGGATTGCGACATGGTAGAAACATGGTCTGGATATCATTGCAAGAATCAGCAGGATGCAGTGCCGTGGCAAGCATCAGCACCGCCGTCGAATAAAAACGAAGTTAACAACAATAACAACTGTCAACGTCAAGAAACCACGACAGAGCAACAGATTTCTCAAAACCAGTAAACACTGAGCCCTAAACCCCAAACCCTGCGTAAGAGCAGGCTGAGGGTTTGGACAAGTGCTTTCGGTCTGGGGTCTGATTAGATCAGGTTTGTGGGCTCAGGGTTTGGTGGCTTAGGGTTTCTGTGCGTGCCGCTTTAATCAAGGAATATATAATGCTTTAAGCCTTATTAGGGATCCTGCTATGATTGAACGTATATTCCTTAATTGAGGGTACTGGAAGGTCATGAAGGTGGATTTGTGAAGGTCGGAATGCATCTTGACACAAACCCATGGTAGCACAGCAGACCAAAGGGGTCTCGGTTTAGGGAATAATATAGGTGCCTTCAAATCTAAAGCGGGTTTGGGGGTATACTTTGCTACGAATTCCATGAGGAAGCTTAAACCGAAGGCATAGTTGATAAGAGCTAATTCGTTTAGGGTATGGGGTTTAGGGTTTAAGGTTCCGACCCTTATAGTATACCAGCTGGCTAGGCCCTGCTTGCCCGGATCCACACGTCCAACAAAACATGCGAACATCCACGGAGATCATGCAGCTGCAGTTCGACTGAACCAAAACCCTGGCAAACATCATGAACAGCCGCTTCGACTTTGCAGCGCATTGAGCCTGAGTACCCGGAAGCCCTGTAAACACCAAGTCCCACCTACAACAAACCCTGCCAAGGCCCTGCAACAAGTCAAGCAGCCTCAGGAACCCCCATGATGGATCAAACCCATCCATACACTCTAAACTCCAAATAAACCCTAATTTAAGTTACTAGGCTTCAGACCAACATTCTAAACCCCATGATGCCCTCGGCCCTAACTCCAAATTCCAAACCACAGCCCTAGATGGGCTAATGCAAGGGCCTTGGTACTTAGAACTGGGTTTTGGGCTCCTGTATAGTCTAATCATAATATAATAGAGGTCATTGCTTGGACTCCAACCCTAAACCCTAAACCCTAGACCCTAAACCCTAAACCCTAAAACCTAAACCCTAAACCCTAAACCCTATACCCTAAACCCTAAACCCTATACCTTATACCCTAAACCCTAAACCCCAAACCGCCGAGCAAAGGAGCCCAGTTCCGCCAAGGGCCAGGTCCCTTCCAGCAAGCCCTGGGCTGCGAGGGGCTCGGGTTTGGCACTCAGATTGACAGGTTCAGGGTTTAGGGTTTAGGGTTTAGGGTTTAGAGTTTAGGGTCTAGGGTTTATGGATGTAAGGGCTGCAGGGTTTAGGGATAGAAGGGCTTTTTTAGGGTTTATGGATATAAGAGCTTTAAGGATTATGGATATAAAAGGTTGCAGGGTTTATGAATAAAAGGGCTGCAGGGTTTAGGGATAAAAGGGCAGCAGGGTTTATGGAAATAAGAGCTTAAGGGTTTATGGATATAAGGGCTTTAGGGCTTGGGGATATAAATGCTTTAGGGTTTAGAGCTTACGGATTATAGGGGCTTGGGGCTTGGGTTTCGGGTTGACGGGTTCATGGTTGAGGAGTTTCGGGTTTAGGGTTTGGCGGATATAGGCTTTTTTGCATTATGTGCTGTTTTTCTCCCACCTGCCCAGCTGACAAAGGGCTCGTCCGCCAGCTGGACATCAAGACCAGCTGGCTTTTTTGGTTTGGGGCCTAGGGATCGGCTGAGAGATGTTGGTTTTCGCTTTTGCTTAGCGCAGCTCTTGTAGGTTTAGGAGTTAAGTTTGCAGGCTCAGGGCTTTGTGGAAGACGGTCATAGCTTTCTTTTTGTTCAGGTGTTGCGGGATAAGGTCTGCTTCTGGAGTTTCGTGGGCTCACAACCCTCTGTGGCACCCGAGATGGCCAACATGTTTCCAAACTCTCATCTGCCCCAACCCCTAAACCCTGACCAACTCCTCTGTAAACAGCCCAAAGACCTCGATCTGCTCGCCGGCCAGGATAGTCCACGCCTCCTCCAACAGCTGGGCGATGTCCTCGCAACCCGGAGGCAATTTGGCGGCTCAGGAACTAGTCTAGGGTTTAAGCGTAAGGGAGAGAGGAGAGGAGAGAGAGAGAGAGAGAGAGAGGGAGAGAGAGAGAGAGAGAGAGCGAGGGTATGTTTCGGGTTCCACACTCAAAACCGCCCCTAGTCCCTATACATAAAGTCATACTTTTAAGTTCATTGCACTGGGCCTGTCCCAAAAGGCGGGGCAAGCCGTGAAGCCTGTAGCCAGGCTTTCTGAGGTTGTGCTTCGAGCAGAAACTCCGAACCCTGAACATCCCAACCGTCAACCCTGTTTCCTCACGATATCTTGTGAGGGCTTTGGGTTTAGGGTTTAGGGGTGGTGTGGAAGTGCAACAGGGGCTTGCCAGGCTGCGGCAAGCGGCATATCCTGAAATAGCTAGATCAGTAAAGATGCTTGGAAGCAAATCCCCAGCTCTCCAGAACCCTGCCGGCGGCTTCTCTGCCAACAAGCAGTTGAGGGGTTAGGGTGTATAGTGCTTCGTAGATGATACGCAATGTTTACGCTGTATATTCTATGTTCTCACACGAAATCATGCATGGGGGAAATACCTTGCCAACAAACGCTACTAAGGCCAACAGTTTAAGTACGTAGGGCGTTCCGTTACTGGCAACACCAATCAAGAGCTCCTCTGCCAGCACGGCTTGCGTGAAGCTGGAGAGGTTCTGCCTTCACCACGGATCGATTCCGGGAACTTGGCCGGGGCCTGACCTCTAGGCTCCGATCTCCCCAACCCCAACCACCGAATGCCCCAGACACTAAAACCCTTCTGCCCCTGTACCCCTCGACCCTCAAGTAAACCCTAAACGGAAAAGGAGCACAACCAATATCGTACTCGGAAGGAAACGGATTTTCACAATGATTCACCAGACCCTCTCCGAGCGGGCAGTTTGCTACACGAGCGTCGCTCTGAGCATGCCTTATATTTCAGATCTAGTAATCTCCTGAAGAAAAGTTGATCGCAGAAACCCAATCCTGATAACTTGATAACACTTGGCGTCTACTTAGTTTGATCAAGGCAGACAAGACGAAGAACAACCCCGTGATCGAAGCCTCGCGCTGCCAATCTAAGTTCCCACAGCCATCCCCCCAGATGCGAAAAATGGCAGCATTGCCTCCTCATTGGGATCCTTGGCAAAAGCAGGTAGAGTTTCAGACCATACCTTACACATAGGACCTTCACGAAAGAAGTATGATCTTCATGGCATCTTCCTGTTGATAACAATTTTCTTTCGCACAACGACTGCAAAATCATCAAGGACCGACTCCCGATCCCTACCTAATTACACCCCCTTCCGGGACCCTCTATTGCAAAACCTACATATCTTCTACTATAACTCTGAGGAGCAGTTACTTCGGGGCCTGGCAAGCCAGAAAACACAAAGCGTGAACCAAAACCTTAGCCGCTCGACCCTAGCCCCTTGACCTGAAGATCTATCACCCGGGTTTAGGGTTTAGGAAAACTTAGCTATGGCTGACCTGACATCCCAGACTAGATGACAATCTTTAACCCTAACCCCTCAACCTGAAATCCTGAGCCGTCAACCTAGTGATAATGCTGGGGATAGGCATGGGGAGAGTGATAGCGATAGTGTCATTGATACCGATGGTGATACAGATATAGATGCAGTGATCGAGATCGTGATGCTGCCAACCACGCAGAGTCCAACAGACATCGCAACAACGGTGATCATGTTCATGGTCCTGGTGATGGTAATGGCAGAGACAAAGGCTATCGTAGTGGTAGCAGCACCCATCATAGTCATCATCGCCGTCGTCATGCTAAGCATATTCTTGAGCAGTCGCAGACAATAGCGATAGCCAGAACGAACATCAGAATAACCATAGCAATACTACTTAGTGATAATATACCCTAAGCCCTAAACCTAAAGCCCTAAACCCTAAACCCTGAAAGCCAAAAGCCCTAGAACCCGAAACGTGTAAAGCCCGAATGCCCTGAGTCGAACAGGTCCGAGGCTCCGAAGCCAAGCGTAGGAAAGTTCCGGCAGCTCCTCGACACCCCTTTAAGGTTTTAGGGTTCAGGTTTTAGGGTTTTTAGGGCTTTAGGGTTTTAGGGTTTAGGTTTTAGGGTTTTTAGGGTTTGTTTGGTTTTTAAGGTTTAGGAGTTTATGCAAGCAGTCTGCAGACAATCCGAGCGAGAGCGGCGCCTGGAAAAGCACACAAATGGGTACAAGGATGCAGCTTGGGGTCTTGAGTCGCTGCGCCGTCTGCCGCGGCTGAGCCATACCCATCGAATCAGGGTTTGGGTTTTTTTTTTTTACAGTGTAGCGGCCTTTCACTCTGTGAGCGTTTAGTTTAGGGTTTAGGGTTCAGGGTTGGCATGATGAGTAACCTCATCCAGACATGCAACAAGACTCAGCAGAACTCATGCAATGCCAGGTCGTCACACGACTTTATCGACTGCCAAGAGCCTGATTTAGTTCCAATAGGGCAAAACTGAACCCTAAACCCTAAGAAAAGCAAAGAAGCAGAACGGTGGGCTTCCGACAGGGAAAGGGTCTCTTGCATACGGGTCCTGACAGGACGAATCCGCTTCTTCGGCTTAGGCTGATCTACCATATAGGTGGTTGTTAAAATTATGGTCCCTTTTTGGGTCCTTATTATAATACGGCACCTATTATTTAGGGTACCGCAAAAGGGACCATAATTTTACAACTACCCATATATGCTGCCACCGTTTGTTGTAACTCAGGGCAGAACCCTGATATGTAAACAGCTGCCAGGTACAAAACTGATCGTGAAGGCCCCGCAGCAACCTCGGAACAACCACACTTCCCAGTTCCGGCCTAAAGCCAGTGATAGAAGGCCTATATGATTCAACACGGCTTGGTCTTCATGTAACCTACAAGGGCTTAAAATGGAACCTCTTTCAGCTCATAAGGGTTCAAATTATCCCGAAACGTGTAAAGTGCACACATTCAGCTACTAAGAGGGCCGAAGGCTTGCTAGGACAATATACTCGGACCTCGACCCAAAGCCCTGAGAAGTCGAATCCTTCAACCCTCAGACCTCGAGTCAAAGCTTTACTAAGGAAAAACGAAAGTTATTTTACTTTAAGCCCTTAAGCCGCAACTTTGCTGCTCTTGTGGTTTCCTTGGTCACAACCTCCATCTGGGTCCTGGACAGCCTGCACCATCGGATGAGCTTGAAGTATGAGAGCAGCAAATTGTTGCCTACGACTGCACCTACTTTTGCCCCTGCGAATTCCCGGCACTGGTGCTAGTTGCCTGCAGCACTGGCAGAAGTGGCAGCGGGCAGCACATCTAACAGAACAGCAAGACGACACAAGCCTGAAACCTTGTACTTCAAGCAGTAAGCCGCATCATCGAGAACGGTTTTGCCGACACCGGCGCGAACTCACTCACTACACAAACACGGAGAGACTGCAGTGGCGCGGTGTCCAGTTCCGTTGTTCAGTTGCTGTGCTTCTCGAAAGCCGGCTAACCGAACAAGATGCTACAATGGAGACTCAAGGTAATACAAAGCCGTTTGAATAACAGGATATTAGTGCTATTCTAGCAGAACTCTATACTATACCCGAAGTTAGCCGTAATTTTGCAGTCGTGAACCTAAGTAAGCCCTACAACACCCTAAACCCTAAACCCTGCGAAACCCAAAGATAGGTCCGCTTCGCCAGAGCCCTGCGTAGCTGTGCCATCAGGCACATAGCGAGAAGTGGACATCTGCTACGACGATTCAGCTGGCTTTGGGCTAAAAGGCACACGAGTTCGCTATGTTCTGCGGAAAAGGTGTCGATGCCCTACTTAGTTTCACAAACCCTGAATCCATCCTGAACCCTAGATTCGACCCTAAACCCATAAAGACTTTGGTAGTTCTCCAAGTTAAAGTCCCTCTTCGGGTCCCCAATATAGTACGGCACCCGTATAGACAAGGCCCCCAAAAGGGACTCTAAGTTAGAGAACTACCCACTTGGACTCCAAAGCCCGTTCTGAGGGCCTCGATACCCAGGCCTCGGCGCTTGGGGACTGAAATCCTGCTCCCAACGTCGATTTCAAGAGTTTTTGTTTTTGTTGAGTGGGATTTGGGGGTTTGGTTGGGTTTCGGCGCTCACACTCGGANNGGACAATCCAGGCGAGGCATATGGTTGGGTTTGGGGTTTGAGAAGGTTGAGGGTCTAGGGTGTTGTAAGGTGTGGACTCTTGGAGCACTAAACCCGGAAAGTAATTTTGTGAGGGGTTTAGGGGTTCAGGGTTGAACATGTTTCTGACGCCGGGGTGGCTGAAGCAGCTCCTGAATTCCTGAAGGCTCTAGATCTCAAGAAAGGAAAAGCAATGCTCCTAAACCCCCAGGTTCCAACAACCCGAAGCCATGGCACAACATATTCAGCCGGCCGATTGTTCAGTCAAACCTCGTTTCTGATGGCTTAGGTAGAAAGGGGGTGCAACATCTAGACTTGTACAGCGCCGGAAGTTTTGCATGATTTTTTCCAGCACCCTCCCATGAAACCCGAAACCCCATCGTTACATACCCAAGACCAACCAATGAAAGCCCGAAGTCCCAGGCGAATGCACACCCGGACTCCATCCTCCGTTGTGGCAGGTGGGAGCTCGCAGTGGCTGTCTGTGCAGGAAGGCGGCGAGTACAGGAAGGGGCCTCCCTGACTAGCGTAAGCTTTTGGTTGATATTCTGCTATACTAGGGTGGCCATTTAGAGGCTCCGGAAAATAAGTACTTCCCTACAAATTAAAACACACCCTAACAATGAAGAAACACTTGCCGTGAAATCCCACTGAACTCATCACCGCTTTTTGTCAGCTTGTTTTGAATTGGGGGGGGGGGGGGGGGGNNCAGAGCGAGAGTCGGAGCAAGCTGCAGAAACAAGAGTTGGAGCAAGAGCCGCAGCATACAACTTTTTGAGTTTTTATTCCGGGGGGTGGGCCCCTTCCGTTTAGTACATGTATTAAGGGGACTTGAAGGGTTCGCAAAATAGATCCTCTTCAGCACAATCAGGGAATTTACAAAATACCTAGTATATTCACACAGGGACTACAAGGGGACTCTCCGATCTGATAGTTGTGGAACTGCAAAAGTCGAGGCCGAGCCTTTGTGGACCACTTGGTTTTGAGCGAAACCCTAAACACCTAAACCCTAAACCCAGGTTGCTCTAAAGAACCATAACCCACTTTTTTGCGGGGTCTTCTTACAAACCCAAATAAAGAACCTCTAGGGACCGTACCAAGCAGCATAGGTCTTGGGAGTTCAAGGTACAGTCTTGCAATTCAAGGCTTAGGGTTTAGGGAGGCTTTGGACAGACAAGGTGTCCCTGCCCCTCGCCGCTCAGATCGTCAGCATGTGCAACACGAGGCTTGCTCGTGATGGGCGATGATTGACGGATTGGTCGGGGAAGCGAAGTAAGCAAAGATACTGCTGCTGTACCGAGTGCTAAGACCAAACCCTGCCATTCAATTGTATACCTTTCCGGTTGAAGCGTTGCGAACCTCTCAAAACTCAGAACCTTGTCAAAGTCTAGCCCCATGCCTACACCCGTAAATGGCCCTTATGGCTCTAGAGTGCGCAGAACTCACGCAATCCATCCTCTGCGTCTGCAGCAGGGGCAAGTCAGCCTCGCAACTCACATGCGCATTGACGAGGTTGAAACACGGTTTAAGGATTTCGCACCGCACCGGGGCTTGATGCTGAGCGCTTGTAAATAACCGGACAGAAATCTTGCGGTCGTCTCTCAAGGTGTAAAACGGGCAACAGCACGACGGCAATTTGGAGTTCAGTGGGGCGCAAACCGATGGTATTCGCGCAGCGGGTGGACTTCAGACCACGGCTTCGCAAATTCACGGCTGAAAGAGACTAACCCACAGGGTCCAACTACCCAAATCATACGGTTTCGGGTGCCAAAAAAATAGTGGGTACTTGGACTCTTAGGGTATTCTTAACTCACCTGCAACTTACTCTTCCCCGCGCCTGAGCTGTCAGCAGCAGCACGCTTTGTGCCAAGGCAAGATGGGCAGCTGCTACACCTCCAAAGGTTAGGGGTTTAGGGTTGGGGTTTCGCGTGAATGTAGCTCTGCTCCCTCATGGCCAATATGTCTGGCAGAAGCTCAAAACCCTATAATCTTCCAAGCTCGGCTCTGCTTAACGCATGCAGCTGCTTGACGACACGAAATCTTGCAGCTCAAATCTCTCATACTCTCAGCCGAAAGCTTGCCCCACACCCCAAAACTCTAGATATCAAGAAGCAAGGGTACGGCTGTAGATGTGCAGGGTCAGACCCTCATCAAAAAGTTGCCGCACCCAGAATCTCGGGACACATAGAGCTCTGTTCGCATGGTGTTTACAGGACTCGACAGAAAACTCCTGCTTAAGCTATGATGCCTTTGCTACACTTCACCCTAAACCCTGAACCCTAAACCCAGAATGAGATCCCGATTCTGAAAAGTCCCTCCTCGGTTGCAAAGCGTGGAGATCTCTGAAAGGAACGCCATGATTGCGGGAACCTCGCATTGATGTTTCACAGTCTCGCAGGTTTGGACAACAGGCACCGGAAATTCCAGGAGCGCTACTAGACTCAAGCCCTTCAACCACTAATCAAAGCCAAACTCTAAGCTTAGAAGGTTCTAACACACGGCGGAGCTACGTCAAGTGAGGCACCTACAGTAGGCACTATGAAGTAAGAAAGGTTGGTGCTAAGGGCCAGGTATCTATGCTTTCATCTACCATTTCGCCCCAATGAAGGCCCTTTTGTGATTACCTATTCAGTCTTCACAGCCTGTACGTCCAATTGTACGTCCAAGTAGTGAAGGCATCACCCGAGCACTACAACATCAAAAAAGGGCAGCCTAGAGCCTAACCCTAAACCCTGAACCCTAAACCCAACAGCCGCGAACCTGAATTTTGCACAGGATTGGTGGTGAGGGCTGCTTGTTTGGAGGTTAGGGCTTGGGGATTTCTTGCTTCCCTTAACACCCCAGAAGCCAAAAGCTAGAGTTTTCAGACACTTTTCCAGAAACGGTACCGGGACATGATGAACCCCAAATGCCAACCTTAAGCCCGACAGCGATTGGAATATGAAGCTCCTGCCGTTCGAGTTCAAGCTTTGAAATATGGGTGTGTAGATATATAAACAGAAAATGTGTGTGTGTGGGTGGGTTGATCATAAAGCTCATAAGGATTTAGGATTGCCACCTTCAGATTTTGAGGCTGAAGGTTCGGTGGCAGGACTTTGGAATTTTCGGCCAGCTTGGGTCAACGAACTTTAGCAAAGATCATCAAGCGTGGTACAACACATGGGGTTCACTGAATCGGGCAGCACTTAGACTCAGACTTGAAACTAAGGCCCCTGCGGAGCCCCACCCCATTTCCAAACCCAGACGCCCTAAACCCCTAAACCATAATATAAACCCGGCTCTACACCCTAAAGGATAAAACTAAACACATTCCTGTCTCTGAGCCCCCTCGCGCTTGGGACCAATCTCCCGGCAACAACCTGGCAACTGAAGGGACGTAGAAAGTGATGGGGCTTCGCAAGTAGACCTTTCGGCTATGTAGCTGTTTTGGTGCGTTTTCGGACATCTTGCTGACGGCTTCCTCTCTTAGTTTGTATATTTCGAGGATCTTTCCAATGGCTCTCTCTCTCTCTCTCTCTTGATTCTTCGTGCTTTCGGGCATCTAGCTAACGGCTCCCCCGCTTGATTTGTGTGTGTTTCGAGCATCCTGCTAACGGCTCCCCCTCTTGATGTTTGGTGCTTTCGAGCATCTAGCTGACGGCTCCCCCTCTCAATGTGGTGCTGTTTCGAGCATCTTGCTAACGGCTCCCCCTCATCATTTTGCGTTCATTTTGTGTGTTTTCGAGCATCTTGCTAACGGCTCCCCTCTTGGTTTTGTGTGTTTTCGCATCTTGTTAACGGCTCCCACTCTTGATGTCTTGTGTTTTCGACCATCTTGCTAACGGCTCGAGCCGTTAGCAAGAAGCGTGAAAACACAGAAAATCAAGAGGGGGAGCCGTAACAAGCCCAAAACGGCACGATTCCTTACAAAAGCCATGCGAAACCGACAAAAAGCTGGTCCGTGATCCCTAGTATCGTGGCTCATATAAATGGGATGATTAATTGCTTTCTCAACCCTACTTCTGATATCCTTCTTAACGTAGACTACACAAGTGGCAAACTTTGCCCCTAAATCCTGAACCTTACAAGCGCTAAACCTTCTACACCCTATAGCCCCTCAACCCTAAAGCCCCTAAACCCTAAACCCCTGAGCCCCCCCAAAAAAACCCTGAACCACTAAACCCCAAACCCCCAAACCTCGTAAACCGTGAACCATGGCCTTCCGCAGGCCCTCGGCTGTGACAGCTGCCAGCCCCTTGGGCTCGCAGACCTTGCGGGCTTTCGGGGCATATTATACGGGCACAGAGTGAGCAAAATGCTTAAAATTGGGTTCTTAAAAAGGGTTCCTTTAACAGGTTTCTATATTCACGGGCTTATTACAGTAATTATGAGGACCTTCATAGCAAGCTATAGAAAAATGCTCTGCGGTATTGTACTATCGATGGAATATAGGGAACCATATAAGAACAGTAATCCTAGCTATTCGCTACTGTGCAAGGGTTTAAGGGTTTGGGGTTTTGGCTTACGGTGTAGGGGAGGGTTCGGACTTACGGAGATCAGCGGTAGGGCTTCTGAGGTTGCAGGGCTTGCGACTCTCACACGACGCTTGCAGAGCTGTAGGGTGAGTCGAGTTGAAAGTTTCGAGCTTTTTTGGGTCGAGGGTTTGGATTGACAACTTTTCGGCTTCAGGGCTTCAGGCTTCAAGCTTCCGGTTTAGGGTTTAGGGTTTGCTGGTTTCGAGTACTACCGGTAGCGGATTCCCGGTCTCAAGGTGCAAAAACCGAAGGCTTAGCACCCCATAGAAAGTAAGAAAGACACAACTATAGATCCCCATGTTTCTCCACTCAGGACCCTTCAACACCCCAACAAAACCCTCCAACATACGTCTTTGGGATGACGGCTTTGGGCAGCCTGAAACATAAACCTGATAAACCTATATAACACCTTAAAAACCAAAAGCCTCAAACCCTCAAGCCCCCTAAATCTATAAGCTCTAAGCCCTGAGCCCTATATCGAAAGAGTCGGCTTCGTGGGTTCCGAACCTCCGTGGCTTCTTCGCAAAGACTCAAGTTCTATCGAGTTGCCATCAGGGTTTAGACTAGAGTTCCTATGAGGGAGACCAGCGAGTCACCCTACGAATTACTGTAAGAGTCACTTTAGAGTGTCTATAGAACTGATATAGACTTGGCAAGGAACCATATAGAGTTACCATGAGGGTTGCCATTTACTCGCCTTCGGAGTTACTATGAGAATTACTTCAGAGTTAGAGTTTGTTTCTACAGACCTAGCAAAGGGCTAGATTTCGTGCATGGGGGTTTCTTATAAACCTCCTGCCAAGGTTTTTGCCTCCTGCATTGCTGAACGAGTCGCCAGACGGGGTATGTTGGTGCACGGATTTTGGGGCTTTGACGGTCCAAAGGAACTCAAAATCTTTTGTCTTGGGTTGACATAGAATCGCAGTTGTGTGGGTTATAGTGTCTCTGGAAGTGTTTGATCATTCATTAGATACCTGGGCCGTTCGGGGATTTGCAGGGCCATATGCGCTTAAACCCTTTCAAAGTACTCAGCGATCGGCCGTTACAAGGGCCCGGACGTTTTGAAACGGGATCTTATGCGTGCTGCTACAAGGGTTACTATATGGGGTACTATTTTCGGTGCGGGCTTAGCTTTGAGAGAGTCTTAATTAGGACTTACCTGTCCACGCCGTTCGAATTAGGAGGCTCCAGAGCGCAGAAGTTGAAACCTTTTCCCCTTTTGAAACACAGGGTTTTCCTTGCGAGTCGTGTAGTTGAGGATTTACGACGTAGGGTTCACGATTTGGGTGTAGGGAATCAGGATAGCCCAGACTCCCTCTCAAGCACTACGTAAAGGCAGGGTGCCTCGCGCAAAGACCCCAACCGACAATGCGTCGGCCAAGCTCGAACTTGTCCCTGTCAGAAGCTTCCATTTGATCAGCACATGGCCATGTGGATGTTTCAGAAATTCTTGGACCCGAATACAAACCCTAAGCAATGGGATCCTCATGACAAGGACCCCTGGCCAAAGCACTACCGTTTTCAAGTAAGTAAGGCATTACATTACTACTTTACTGGTACCATGCCCCCCTACAATGTTCCAAAGCTACGGCAAGGGAGGAATCGGTGTCGGTTGCTGCTGTTCCTGCTGCCGCTGAGGATGACCATTGAAGATGATGGTGGCAACTACAATGACGATTCGGATGCCTATGAGGTCGCGGCAAACTCCAACGATGCCTATTCTCCTGCTGTTCATTCGTTTTTTTTGTGTGTCGTGAACGCCTCTGCGGCTAAACCCCATACATCTCCCTGAACCCATTACCCCTGCATGGTCGTTTCGGGACCCCAGCAAAATGACAGGCCTTTGGGACAAGGCTTCTAAGCCCTGCATCCCGACAGCCTTCTGTTAATGAACACTAAGCGCCCCCGTCCGACACTTCGCTCACAAGCCCTTGTGCAAAAATCCTAAATCATCAACCATGGCCTGCACGTGATGTAGCAACCCGAAAAGAAGGACCTCATGTGGAGGCGCAGGGACTGGGAGGATGCAGCGGACCATTGAAAGGTGTTCTAGAAACGTCATAGTTGTTCGTCATTTGGTGGAAGCTGTCGCCCATTGTCGCCCATAGGAGACGAAAAGACGTATACCAGATCTCCCACCGTCCAAGTTACTTGAAGTAGTGCCGGGGTGTGTCTGTCAGTGGTATGAAAAGCAGAGCTACATGTGCTTCCTTCGGCTATTACACTGGCCAAATCTTTCCGGCTGCACACACAGTTCAGGGAGACCTCCTACGTTTAGGTTTCTGGTGTCTGATCCAGATTTAACTGTATGTTTTAAAGTTCCGAAGGGGACAGCATACGTACATCGGCAGCCGCCTTCATTCTCAGTTCTTGCGACCCGTCGTGCATCTACCCGATACTTCCTTCAACAGCAACCCAAATACAGTAATGGCCGTAGGAGAAACCCCGACCATTGGCCTCATCAACAGGTGATTTGATCCAGAAGGTAGCTGCGGGATCCCCAACATGAGCATCCAAGTCCCGGGAAAAAAAAAGTCATGGCATTCTTTCTACTATTTACTGATAATATTAATGCAAGCAAACTAAATACTGGCCAAACATCTACTTCAATATCCTTTCAAAACCCTGACCCTTGCTGTCTTCGCTCTGGCTTTTCCCAATGATGGCCCTTAGCTTCGTAAGGGTGATACCAGCATTTGTTTGTTTACCGCAACATTTGTACACGGAATCACTGTAGTATATGACCATGTCGAACTTGCCCGTGTATGCGTGTATATACACATGCTAACCCGAAGGTTAAACCTGTACTAAATGCCAACATAATGGCGAGGATCGTTAACTGTCTCCTGAGTCCAAACAGCATCAACGCTAACCCTATCCTTCTCATTCACCCTTCTGTCAATTGTGACCGTAATATTCGCCCTGACGGCAGCCATACGGCCATCCATAGCAAGCTTAGTACCACCCATAACCTGACCCCAATGTTCGTAATCAGCTAAAAGAAATCGTCGTGATCGTAGTGGTAGCTGTGATAACCCTGATTCCTTGGTCCTGGTCTCTGAAAAAACCTGCAATCCAAAACTACCCAGTAATTATATTGTACAGTATTGAAAGCGGCATCGAATCCAAATAGTACCGACACTCGAACCTCATTGGCAGCACTAAATCGCGCACAAGCAACAAATGAAATACACACTCCTTGCTGGGAAAAACTTGGTCTTGGAGTGCAACACCAACTTTTTCCTTACGGTTGGATTGGAAAACCAGCTTGATCCTACATCACCCATTCTAGCAGCTAAAATGGGGCGGGGGTGTAGAGCTGAAATAGCCCCGTGTAGGTCGATTTTTGATTATGTTGGCATCCTGTCATGATCTAGGCTCTGTGGGCTGAAGCAGGCGATGTAGGCTCCAACAGGTTAGGGCTTAAATAGGCGATGTAGGCTCCAACAAGTTACTTGCAAACGGTCTCATGGATCATGTCGTAAGAATGTCGCAAAACTTAAACAGGCCCTCGGCATTTTCGAGCGGCACGCATCTCCCGCTGCTTTCGGCCTGCACTGCTCGGAGACTCATCTCATGGCACTGCAGACAGTGTCATGGGCAGTGTCATGTCCGCGCCGTGTGGCCGGACGACTTCGTGTGCTGCTCGCTGGAAAGAAACGAAGGTAACTGAGGTCTGCTGGTGCTTGCGGTTTGCCTCTGATAGTTTTGATGCAGCACGGTGGCACGGATCCCGACATGGCTTGCGGCATCTCAACCAACAGTTTGCACCACTCCTCGAGAAAGACAACACAATTGCCAAGGAAACTCAACTGATGCACGGCTCTCTGCCTCGCGACTGTGCTGCAGCCGAGACACGGTCCGTTGGCCCGACTTGAGCTGTCTTGTCGAACCCAGCCCACACTTGCCTCCCATACTTGGTGCCCCTAAGCGAGGCGTTGCGCCGGGATAGGAATTCAGGCGCCTGCTCCAGAACCACATCCCAGCTCATCTCCACAGCCCCTGGGCGGTAGACATTCGTACTGTCGAACACCGAGTTGGAGCTGATAAGCTCGTCCATGCGATTGAGCTTTTTAATTTCCTGCCTGATCAGACTGCCACCGGCTTTGAATCTGGTGAAGTTCGCAGGTCTCGGGGGGACTTCGTCGCTGATCTTGTTTGCCTTCCTCCTTGTTGCCGGCTTGCTCACGCTGACGCCAGCTGACGCATCGCTGCACTGTACGAACAAGTCGGAGAAGGGCTCGGCATCGATAGCTGCAGCGACGGCCCTGGCCGAGGCGGAGCTCCACGTCATCTTGAAACGGAGATGGCATGCATGAGACTCCCGCACGGTCAGGATGCTGCAAACTCTTTCCAGGGGAACTCGGTATGCTGGGGATGTCGAATCGCAGGCATAAATCCCTGGCTGGGTCTGCTCCAGTCGGACCACACGAGCCTTGGATGGACCCCACCAGCACAGCAGAACTGCTGAGCTTGAAGTTTTTCTTGGCCATACACCACATGGACAGGACGACGCCTGGAACCCAGCGATTGTTGACGGGCTCCTCAAAAATCACCACATCACCGGCGTCGAGCTTCTCGGGAGATGAGGCACCCAGCTCTTTGGACGTCTTCTGGGCAAGAAGCCGCCAGGCCTGCACGCGGCTTGCTCGAGCACCGGTTCCTTCTTGGAGCCTTGCGGTTTGCTGCTCCAAGAACTGATGCCAATTCATTTTCTTCCCTGTGGAAGGTCTGTCGGTGACACGTGATGTGCTCGCTGTCGCAGCCATCGGGCCCTGCCCGCAGGTGTACGAGCAGACTTTACAGGCCAGAAGCCACTTCTTGGCAACTGTTTGCGGGGCGGCCCTTGTCGCGAACCACAGCTTGCAGCATGCCCCGGAGCGTGGTGTGTTTTTGCGGATCCCCATCGGCCGAGCCCGGCACAGCTTGCAGAGCTCCTCCATGTCCGGCACTTTGCTGGATGAGTACGCCGGCTCACTTGCACATGGCGGGGCCACGTCCCCCGCCCTGCTCAAGGCTTCCTGTGCGTGCAGCTGCGTGGCCAATTCGAATGCCTCCTGGTTTTTCTCGGTGGGACCTTGCTGGGCCTCCTCCGGCTGATCCTGGTACTCATCATTCTGCTCGGCTCCTGAGGAACATGACGAAGCCGCTCGCTCCTGGCAACGATCTGTCTGCCCGGTGCCCGGGGAGCAGCCACGGGGGCGGGTGAGGGCGAGAAGGGTGTGCGCACCGAGCCGCCGACGCCTCGAGGTCGGACTGACGTAGCACGAGGAGCCCTCGGCACCTGTCGTAAGCGGCCTCCAGGCGCAAGCCCCCCACAATCACGAGCGCGCTTTCCATCCAAAGGCGGCCCACCGCTACACTACGACCGGAAGCTGAGAGCCCACTTGAGCCGAAATGGCTTTCGCCAAAATGGTTTTCCAAAGTTGGTTTTGTTTTTTGTTTTTTCCTAGGATAACATTGGTTTCCGGTCCAAAACTATTTTTCCCTAGGAGCAGTAACAAGTTGGTTTTCCCACCCAAAACCATGTTTCTCCCATGAAAAATTTGTTTTTTTGGGCCAAAACCAAGCTAAATCAACCAAAACACTCTTTTGGGATTTTGGCCGTATAGTTTCCCAAAGGAGGTATTGTTATTTAAAGTGTTTTTGATTGGAAGAGCACAGTGTTGGTGCCGTGGAGTGCGTGCTGATTTCAAGACTGAACGAGTTGTCTGGCACGTTCTATTGTGGTAGTCTTTGAGAGATACCGAATCCGAACCTGCCGGCAAAGCTGGTTTGACATGGTATTTACGATACAAAACGAGGATCGGTAGGTCACAGGGTGCTACCGTTTAAATAAATAAACGAATAAATAAATACACACATAAATAAACAAATAAATATGTGTATATATATATATATATATTGTGTGAGTGTGTGCATATAACTATGAAAAGGACGGCCTCACCTGTGTCAGTGTTCGAGTCTGTAATCTCAGGCCAAGGGCGGCTCGACAACTCAACCAATGCTGATCAGTCACGCGGCACCTTCACTAACCACAAGCTTCGTATGATAAAACCTTGAGGACTCTTGATACTGCCCATGCCATAGGAAGTAAATCCGGAAACCGGTTTTCGTAGCGAAGCTCCGACCAGAATCTGTTCGCGGCAACAAGGGCCCAGGCCCCCCAGGGTGCGAACTTGCTGTGCAGGACGGCTTCCGTGCCTTAGCGCCCGCTCTCGAGATTTCCAAGCGGCAGATTCAGATTTCACACGACCGGGAACCAAAACCCAGACACGAGTCTGCACAGTAAACCCGAATCGCTACTGTAAGCCTGCACCATCCCTTGCCCAACCCTAGCAAAAAAACCTTTCGCAATGGTAATTAAGCACTAAGGGCAGAGTTTGCGAAGTCACCAAGCTGCCCAAAGTCTGCCGAAGCTCGTCCCAAACCTTGCAAGGGTGTCCGTCTCGCAACACAGAGCATCACGGAGATCCTGAATGACAAAGCCCGCAACCCCAGTTTCCCAGGTCCTCCATCCAACCCATGCAACATCGAAAAACCTGAATCCTGAAATCCCAACTCCACGGGTTCAGATCGTTAAACTGCAATGTGACCGCCTGTCAGCCCAACACAGTGAATCTGAAAGTCAAGAACTGCATCCCTAAACTCCGAACAACAAGTACACAATGAGGAACTGTGACGGTTCAGTTTTATTACAACTTGTCTGTTGCTGCCCATAAGAACGGATTGCTCAACAACTGGTCACGATGGTTTAGTCTAGAGTTTCTAGGATTCATAGTTAAGGGCTTACGGTTTAGGAAAGGGCAGAGTTCGGAATTGATAGGGTTCTTCAGTCTTGCCCTTGCCGCAGCCCCGAGATCTCCGAAGCCTCTCGCACGGCGATGCAGGAGGCCTCCGACAGAGGCAGGCATGTGTGGCCATGGGAGAACATTCGCAACCTTCAGCAGCAGCAGGAGTGCAAGGCTCGGGGTTTAAGCTTGGTGCTTGGATATTTTTGGAGTTCCGGGCCAATTCTATACAGGGGCTGGGGGTTGAGAAGTAGCGCTGGCCTCGTCAACTCCGTCTGTCAACTTCACCGAGAGGCTGGTGAGTTGTGCCACCTGATGCAGAACACATGCCCGCACGCGCACACACACACACACACACACACACACACACGCACACACACGCACACACGCACACACGCACACACGCACACACGCACACACGCACACACACACATACACACATACACACACATACACACACACACACACACACACACCCGCATTCACAAATGAGATTTTCCGAAGCTTTATACTGCATGAACAAATACCACTAGCACGATCCTTCTGACAAGGGAACCCGGTGGAAGCCACGACCCTGCTTTCGGAGACGTTCTCGAATCTTCAACGGCCGGGCGCGCGACAGTTGAAGCGACATGGCAACGGGAATGGCCTGGCGTTATGTGGCTTTAGGTCTTGGGATTGTGTAGGCCGAAATTTCCGCCGACAGTAGCAAGGGCTAAAGGCGTTCTTAGCAGCGCCTGCCAGAAACGATAATAATCATCAGCGTCATCATCATCATCATGATCATCATCATCATCTTCATCATCATCATCATCATCATCATCGCGTTCACCTTTTCGTTTCGCACGGTGTTGTTCAAAGAAGCCAAAACGCTTCAAATGCCAGTGTTTTGGGCATGCCCGCAAAAAGTCATCAAGGCGTGTGATTGCGCGTCTTATGCCAGAAATGTCAAACATCCTCTGCGGTATGTTGCCTACAGCGGCGACACGATACAAACAGCAGTGGCTTGGGCATGTTCACACAAGGGGTGAATGCATGGGACAATGCGTCAACGTCATGTAACCTATTGCAGTCGCACTCCACCCCAACCGCCTGGAATCACCATGCATGTCCCAAATGATGTTTTGAACATGCAAAGGAAACCCAGGAAACTGGAGTGTCGCACACGGTCCCCTCACATGTGGGCTCACGGGCGCTTGCTTCCCAAGAGCTGCCGATCCCTGTAGACCCTAAGCCCCATACGCTCGGCCCACCTATGGACTCAGCGGCAGCTGCTTGCAACAAGCTCCTCTGCATGTTAGACACCGCGCCGATACGGCAGGGTTTCTTGGGGGTTTGAGTTTGGATTTGGTGTGATTTGGTACACAGGATTGGTCCATGTACTGTTGTATGCCATCTTCCAAGGATCGTTTACATGGTTTGCAATTTGGTACAAATGTGTCAACGCTGGGGCAAACTCTGTGACTTTAGGATTCCGGGGTTACGAAGCGCTGACAAGGAGATCATGCTACCAGTTGCCACAGCATGCCGCAGGTAACCAGTCAATCAATCAATCAATCAATCAAATAATCAAATCAACTGAACCGAATCGAATCAAACAAGCAATCAATCAATCAACCAACCAATCAATCTGTCAATCAATCAGACCACACCAAATCAAGCCCAAGCAAGCAGTCAAACCAGCAATCAAATCAATCAGTGGAACTAGCTATCACGAGCCAAGCTCGACGGGGTGCTCCCGTGCCAGCTCTCAGCACTGCAGAAATTCTTTGTATCGTTGAGTTCGCACCTCAACCCATTCTTTTTCCAGTGGTGCACAAGATACTGCACCGAAGCAACTTTTTCTTCACACATATATAATCAAAAGATGTTCCTTTCATGCCACATGGAATAGCACGTAAGCACGTAAGCGCGCAAACACAAAACACACACAGACACACACACACACACAAACAAACAAACAAACATACACTACCACGTGCACACTTCATTTGTGCATCTGTGTCAAGCTCGTTCATCCGGCTTGTGTTTCCGAAAATGGGAGCAGTTGCCGATGTTATGTACAACCCTGACAGGACTGCTTGTACCACTGCCAGCAGAATCGCGCTCCCACCAACCCGAAACCCGACTCCTCGTCATCATGGCGGCTCGACGCTTCGCCTCAATACAACCCCAAACTTGCGAGGCTTCATCAAAGCATGAGACAAATCGCCTCCACAAAGGCGGCTGCCACCAACGTCCGTGCAAGCGCCGTCAGGCTTGGAGCCTGCGACAACTATGTATGTATGTATGTATGTATGTATGTATGTATATATATATATAATATATATATGCATTTTACGCACACTAATTTTTAGAATCTATTACACATGTAAGTATATATGGCTGACAAGCATTCACCGGCTTCCCTGAAAGGCGTTCATGCCTGGAGGTCTCAATAGCTTCAACATGGATACCTGGCTCTTTAAAGCTCTTTTTTGTTATGATTTCCCTGTTAACATGGATTAGGAGTCTCACCTGCGCCCAAACGAGTTGGCAATGGCGTTGTTGCAGCCATGTCCTGGGCAGGCAGCGTTCACACGTGGGTTTCATGTTCACACGGTCCACAGTGTTTCTGTTTGGCATCGGCTCTCCAATCATAGCTGAACAGATTGACGCTTCGAGCGACTGCAGCGGCGCTGGATTATACTTCGGCTAAACCTGGCTGCTAGTTACAGTTGCGGATCCCCTTTTTGCCACTGCCTGCGCCAATCTAAGTGCCCCGGCTGCTCTTCGTTGTCGCTCGACCACGCATACCTTACCCATACAGAACTCAAGTTGGTCACGATGTCATTTTCAAACAAGCTTGCGGCCTCCATGACGGTTGCTCAGCCGGAAATGCAGGTTGGTCCTTCGATTTGCCGCAAAACGAGGTGGATACAATATGACAGGAAAGCGTGCCTGCGAAAACAAGCGGTATATCCCACGCCAATTGCTGATGCCAACCTTGACAGCAGCGGCAATATGCATCACACACACCTCGGTGTTCCTGAGTCGCTGCTTTGGTATACCATGGCACAACCGAGCCTCTGCAGCGTCTGGAAGCATGGGTGCGGACGCATAGGCTGCAACAAGGCACTGTTGCGCCACAGTTGCGTGAAGAAAGTAGTCCTCGGAGTCACAAGTCGCAAGGCTCGACCCAAACAGTTATTAATTGACTGTCCGGCCATGCTAAAGTCAAGATCGGCACAGTACGGGCAAGCCTTTCCCCCATTTGCCGCAGAAACCTGGCAGGGCGCAATGTAAGTTGTCCTGCACCCTACACAAGGACGCGCGCAGGCTTGCGCCAAATGTTGTTCGATGCAACATCTGCTGGAATGAATTATAGGCCATGGTGAAATGCAGGGGCCCCGTTGGGTGGGAGGTGTGCGGGGGCTATACCAAGAGGTGGTGCGGGGGTTGGGGGCTACATACATAGATCTGGCGCAAGTACAAAAAAGCCGGAAAACCAACCCCTGCATGTGGGGAAATACAAATCCCGAAACCGCATGGTCGAGTAGGCCAAACTGGATAAACGGGTATGTGACCCTGGTTGTGCAAACAAGCCAACTGGCACATACGCATTTGGGGAGTCTTGTAAAGGTCGTGACTAAAGGCCTGGCCACAATGGCGTTTGCAGCCACCATGCCCACTTGGCACCGCCTCCTTGGTGGCAAAAACAAACTCTGATCGTCAAAGCTATGAACCCAACCTTTACATCCGATCTTGTTGTCACATTGCTAAGCGAAACAAATGCCATGGACGCCAAAATGCTGAGACAGTTGGATGTACGCCACCGATTTGTGCATCGGCAGAACACTTCCAGATGCCCACCATTTTGGAGCAAATGCTTCTGGCGTGTCCCCATCGGATACCTGTCAGCCGTTGCACGCCCTTGCTGATTCGGGACCAACGACCCAAACACCCGCACTACCGGGTCTGCTGTACGACAATGAATACAAGGCGCTAAATCCAACAGGCCCTGCGTATGGTAGCGGACCATATCGTCGCACAGCGTTACCTGACGATGGGCGAAAGATCGCCTGAGCCTTCTTTCCTGGTGCAAGCCGGGGCCCATTAGCAAGTTGCATGATGGTTTGCAAAGCCGAAATGAAAACTATTTGGTAGCCTTTGCTTTGCCAAATTGAAGATGGCGGTCTGCTCGATGTGTGAATTCATGCCTCAGGAATCCGCAACCCGCAACAAACCCAACAAAACATTGCTGATGCAGCCAAGGCTCATTAATCGTTGTACAACAGGTGAAGCGGTCTCGCCGACCAACTCGGAAAACTGTATGCAAGGGAAGGCGCACTCCTTAGATCGCAAGTGTCCAACATGCCTGCCACAAACCGCCACGTAGAAGTCGCATCGGGGCACAACCGTCGTCATGCGGCCCACAAAACCGACGGTCGCGAGTCAGGCTGGCGGAATTGCTTATCGATTTGCCGTTCGCTGTGTTGCTTTGGTGTCGCCGCGGGCTGCCTCCTGCATCGGGAGCCGAGACGACTGTAGTGTCGACGGTGAGCTGGATTCCTCCACAACGCGTAGCCGCGTAGCCCATTGGCGATAACCTCACTACGCCGGTCGCCGCGCCGCCGGTCGATGATGTGGAGACTGCACCAGAATTCATTGGCTGCAACTGTGGCCACTGCCTCAAGGCGGAAGCGTGCATCTAGAGACAGTGGGAGGGCGGTGTACAGATGACGGGCAAACGGACCACTCTTACTCTTACATTATGTAAAGCAATGGATGCGTCATCAAGCGCACAGGTGAAATCCGCTAGGATAACCTCACCGACATCCTGGGGAGCTGCTGGCTGCCAAGCGCGCGCGGGCGGCTTCGGCCTCGTGCGGAGTTTTCCAAGCAGCTCACCCCATGGTCAGGACAACGGCAGCACTGTAAGGAGCGACGCAAAGCAGCGGGGCTTGCACGCAGGATCTGCGAGTTGCTGCAACATATGGCCGCAGAACGCCGGCGGATGGGAAGGCCGGGCCGCGGGACAGCTGGGCAGCGCGGGCTTGCTGCAGCAGGGCCAAGCAATGCAACCGTTTGCGGTCGTGCTTGTTGAAACTCGAGGAGAGCACGGTGCTACGCAGATAAGGTGTAAAAATGCGCAGCAACGAACTCATCTGTACCGAGCGGAGTCCCCAAGTTTTTTTGAGGCATTGTCGGTATGTGGGCATGCTATAGTGCCGCCTATACCCAGGTGTGCGCACGGTCCGCCGCGGAGTTCGGTGGTGGCGGGGAGGATCTCAACTGCATTCCAAACACGGGCTCTGGCGGCATTGTAGGATCGCGGGGGTGGTGCCCGCAAAGTCCCATCAAAAATGCGGTGCGACAGGGCTGGTATGTGTTGTCGAGGAACGCACGCACACTCTCGTTGGGCCCTTCGCCCAACTCGGCTGCCGGGGGCAGCTCGAGGAGTGTGGCGGTGTAGGCGCGCTGGGCCGCAACGGCGAGCAGTCCGGACCAGCGGGCGACCCAGGACGTGATGGCGGCCGGTCGCAGGTGGGCTAGAACGGAGGCCGCGCGATGGCGGGCGAGGAGGCGCAGGAGGCGCAGGAGCTGCACTGCTTCGGTGCCGAACCTGCCGCCGGTCTCGATGCCGACAACGACTAACCGACAGCGACGGGCGCGGCCAAGTTCAGGGATGTTCAGGGTATACGTCTGGCACCGCTTGCGCCGCGCTGCGGCAGCGACAGCGCAGCCCGGCTGGACGTCGGCGCGCAGGTGGGCTTCGCCGCGTCTCGTCAGCGGGGAGACGATGGTGGCATCAAGCGCAAGCTGGGAGCCATGCCAGAGGGGCAGCACGTTTGCGACGACCTCGATGCGTCGCTCGTCAGCGACAGGAACGTCGAGGTTCATGTCGGCGAGCTTGACGTGTCGTGCGACCCTGCGCCAGCTTCGCTGCAGACCCGCGCAACGGCGTGCTCAAGGGGCAGCGCGCGTGTGGCGAGGACGCCGGAAGTGGCACAGGCCGTGCGGTGGTCGCCGCGGGGGCCCAGTGCTCCGTGGCAGCTGCACCTGCGCGGTGCGAGTGGGAGGGGCAGGCGCAGGCGCCGTAGCAGGAGGAC